GACGTTTCGGAGGAACGTATCGCCTCCATCTTCAGGGAGATTCTTATATTTTCTCTTCTACCCTGAAGATGGAGGCGATACGTTCCTCCGAAACGTCAGTTAACACCACATATACACGGTGCCAAATCCCAGAAGACTGCTTTCTTGAACCTTTGTTTTATTCTACAACAGAGAAATCCCTTCCACGCTCACAGAAAGGGCGTTCTATATTGAGACATATTTCGTTCTTCAATTAAATACGTCACGTGACTCTCGTAAGAGACAGGTTATTTCATTTCCCTTTTACTTTGCAAGAACTTCTTCAAATATCACACAACTGTTTTATTTTTAATATTGTCGGTGACAGCTAGAACAGAAGGACAGAGCTCTGGTACAAACCCGGCTGCGTAAACATCAGCGTAGTACAATGCAGACATGAAAACCCTTCTCAGAAGGTTCCAGAGCTAATATTTTTCTGCACCCACGTTCCTTGTCTCGAAGTTTCCAGGAGAAGCTTGTTTCAAACATATAAACATGCATTTTAATATTAAGAGAACTCGCCCTTGGCGCAGTGCTTCTCGGGATGTCTGCAATTGACTGTCTCCTTGTAACAGACTCCTTCTTGAGAAACTAATAATATCCCGTATAGATTTTAAATTCCCAATCTTTTGGAACCCGATTGTATTTTTCAGCGTCCACAAGAGCCTGCCGCCTTTTCCCGATCCTGAGCCAGATGAATCCAGTTCACACTGTTTCTTTAAGATAAATTTTAACATCGATTTTCCATCTATTCCTATATCTCTTTACTAATCTCTTTCCTTAAAGAACTTTATAGCAATGAAACTCGAAAATCTGAAATTTTTGACACAAAACCTTGCCATTGGACACGATCCTGCGAAATCGTTCGTTCCAGTCAACATCCTTGATCCATTCCACAACAATCATTTTATGTTATGCACTAAACTCCTCGTTATGCATCCAAATTGTCGTTTGTCGATACTTTTTACTGCCAGACTTATGTATGTAAATCCAATATGCAACTTCTGAATGAAATGACGTTACCGTGGCATCCTACGTCCGAGATAAATCTGACATCTCCACAATAAGCGTCGTCTTGACGTAAGGACGCCGCTAGGAAATTAAATCCTAAATGAGATAAAAGGATTAATGAACTGAGTTCGTTAAGTCGAGTCTTATTTACCAGTGCACAACACTTCTGTGATTTAAAATTCAGAAGGTGTGTTTAGAAATTGGATTAGAGAAAATAACATGACTTTGACGAGCGAAACAGAAGAACGGTAATGGGTTTTCATTCTACTTCGCGTATCGTGTAAGGAATGAAAGTCAGGCTGGGGCCACACGAGCGCACAAAATACGTCCGTTGTAGAAATAAACAAGAGAGGCGAATGCTACGCTTTTTTTTCTGGCTCCATTGCAGACAAAAAACTACGCACCGCATTCTGCAACTGTGTGGTGTTCTCAGCAACGTCCCTCATATAGTACGTTCTTTGCAAAGGACGTACTTCGTGCGCTCGTGTGGCCCCAGCCTTATGGTATTATCATGTCCTTGTGGTTCCCACTATTAACGTTTGAACCAACTGAAGAATTTTCATGAAAGTAGTTTGACTACCGTGTCAACAGATGTCGCCCACTTAAGTACATTTCAGTTTCCTACCTACAGCGATGTGAAGCTGTGGGTTAGGATAAAGAATATCACCACCGATCACCACTGAATTTATGGCTCAGTTTGACTCTTATAACGACCGGCAACACTACCAAACGAATGATATGGGTTGGTGTGTGGAGGAGAGGACCCATTAGTGACGGCTAGAGTCACTCCCAGTAGAGTGGGAGTGACCGGAAGTTGACCACTCCTCGCATGGAAGAGGAGGCCCAATTTCTAAACACGTTCATGTCTGTGATAGAAGAAAAATCTTGGCCCTGGATCCCGACGGTATCCGAAACCAGGAATTACTGTGCTGGCGAGGACCGCCCAAACTTTTGACAAATATTCGGTACACACCCTTCCGCTCAATGGGGTGTTTGGGACAAGAACATTCCCACACTGTGGCGAATGTGGTTGCAACCACTGTCATCTCCCTTCGCTCACATGGCCCGCGACATGGGTCAGCTGGAATGTCTAGCTGCAGTTGTACCGGCAACTCTTGCATCCTGTCTAGCCTAGACTAGGTTTTCCACTACGTTAAGGCCCAGCAAGAAGGTCTAGCTGCAAACCGAGTAAAGCTTTGTACTCGTTTCTTGCTTGCTGGGTTACTCTTCTACCTTGAAGACAGGTGCAATACTTTCCTACAAAAAAAAAACTTCATGGCCTGTAGTCCACAAGCGAACTATACCGACCGAGCGACCGTCGCTTGTCGGCGAAGTTAGTGCCAATTTTAGCGGATAGAGGTTGTCGCGTGGTCAGCGAAACGAATCCCCACGGCCGTTAATTTCGGTTTTCTAGACCGGAGCCGCTACTTTTCCATTCAAGTAGCTCCTCAATTATCCTCAGGAGGCTGAGTGGACCCCGTTCCAGACCCACTGCTTCTTAGAAAATCTGGTTGCGCCAGGAATCAAACCCGGGACCTCTGGATCTGTAGCCAGGAACTCTGACCACTAGACCATAGAAACGGTCCAAAACGTCGATAAACTTCTGTCAGACTGCCCGTCGTCACATGCCATAAGACAGTACTCCACAGTGGTCCACACACAGGTCTCAGGGTTTCTCACTGTCTGGTTGTAGTGACCTCTAGGATTTCATGGCGCGATGTAAGTAACAGCGACAAGTCCACCTTTGCTCCTAAAATGTTTGTTGTTTTGCAGAAAGCGAGAAGATGTTCAAGGCTGAGGTGGAAGCGGGGGGCAAACACGTAGCCTCCGAAGTGAACAGACGTCGAATAATTCACCGTGCCAAGATGAAATCTCTGCGAATCTCCGTGGTGATTGTGGTCGCTTTCATCGTGTGCTGGACGCCTTATTACATAATGATGATTATCTTCATGTTTCTCAACCCGGACGAGCACGTACGTATATTCATTCTGGTCTCTACAAACTTTCTTTTGCTCTTGTCAAGAAAAAGGAGCCAGGAAAGATCAGTCGGCAAAGCGACTACGTTATGGGCTGGACGACGAAGGAATCAGGGTTCGATTCCCTGCAGGGACAGGGGATCTTTCTATTCTAAACAGCGACCAGATTGTCTTTTGGATCCAATCAGCCCCTTATCCAATGGGTATCTGGCAGCTCTTACTCTTGGGGTAAAGCGACCGAGGTATGAAGCTGACCTCTTATCTTCATGTAGTAATGAGGTTAAGAATTCGTGAAGCTGTAGCACCATTCAGTATTAAAACTTATTGGCGCCGTACTTAATTAAGCACAGGGATAACTTTACTTTACCCAGATACCGTAATCATTGCATCTGGATGCATGTAAGCCAAGCAGTATTATTTAGGAGTGAATTCTTTATAAATAAATTAAATTTAATCAGGAACATTTTAAAAGTAGTACGCGGTAACCTAGTTGGTTGAGGCACTGTGCTAGAAACCGGAAGGTCGCGGGTTCGATTGCCGATGAGGTCATTGAATTTTTCAGTTGTCGTATTCCTTCCAGCCGCACTATGGCCCTGGTGTCAACTCAACCTCTAACAGAAATAAGTACCAGGAATCTTCCTCAGGATAAAGGGTGGCCGGAAGGTAAAGCTGACAACATCACCGCCATCTGTGAGCCGACTGTCTAGCAGACAGCATTATGTGAACTGGGCACAGCTTGTTAGAAATTTGTTTTGGTTTGCATGCATGCTCTTGGTGACTGACAGTAAACATATAAAATTAATTTTGTTGCCAAGGGTAAATTATAAATTTTATTCTGTAACCTATACACCACATTTACTCTCACAAATTGTAGTTTAATTTGCTTTTATATTTTTCAGCTTGGCGAAGATCTTCGAAATGGAATTTTTTTCTTTGGGATGTCCAACAGTTTGATAAACCCACTGATATATGGTGCATTTCATCTCTGGAAACCCAAGAGAAGCAAACAGAATGACAGTCTATCCCGTTATAGGTAAATATATAAATAATATGTATGTTGTATTCTGTTTTGTATATCTCAGTGACGGAAATTTTTAACTTTACTCATAGCATCATATAAAAATATTTTAATGGGCACTGGTATGTGTTATTTACTGGTTTAATATTAATGATTTGTTATATTACTTATATTGGCGGGATAGAAATGAGCATGGCGTTTAAGAGATGTAATTTTAAGAAAATATGTTAGGTAGGCTTATATTCAGAAAAGTTTTTGAGTGACACTTCTATCTGATTGTGCTGTTTAGTGGCATATTTCAACGTTACGAAAACAAAATTGAACTAGTCAAGGTGAAATGTTTATCCCTATCGCTATGTGTATGAAATTGCTAGTGATATTCTTTGCCTGTTTTCATTCTGAGGTTTCAATTCATGAGAGAACTGCATTGTTTACTCTCGGTTCCCTCATGATGCTTTACATCATGCATTTTTTTGCATGACAAAATAGAGAAATTTATGTGATGGGTGTGTCATTGAAAGATATGCAACATTCATTATGGAAAGTTTGGAGTCATATAAAAACAGCATGGCCATCACATGCATATTTTAAGGTTTACACTGATAACTGACGGGCATCACCAGTATTATCCAATGATGATGATGACAGTTTGGGGTTTGGCGGCCAGAAATTTACTTGCATACTCACATTGAATCTGTTTTAGACTTTTCCCTGGTCTCCATAAAGTACTCAAGATAGAGGAATAATTTTTTTAAAATATTTTTAATTTTTATTATTAATTTTCTTATTTTCTTCAGTTTTGCAGAAGAATTGGAGGAAGGGGGTAGATGCATGGTCTCCCCCACCACCAGCATCCATTCTGATGAAATACTGAAAACTGACATACAAAATATATGACATACAAGTATATTAGAAACATGTCTTCTAGTACTATAAGTACACATTAAAACCAATGATATCTGGTCTGTTGGAACTCAGAAATGCACCACCATATGAACAAATACAGACCATGATAAGAAGTGTACCAGCATTGCACAGAACTTGTATTTAGGAGGTTCCTGGTTTGAATATTGACCAAATTACCACCTGTTCTGACATAAAATTTTCAGTTTTTCTCTGTCTCTTCATGTGAATGCCAGGATAGAGGCTGGGGGAGCCCTAGAACCAGTCTCAATTATATAGTGAACAAAAAAGTATCTTCTTATGCCAGGAATCAAACCCTGATTCCTTTGTCCCCCAGCTTGTAGCGTAGTCATTATACTGACTCAGCTATCCTGGCTCCAAATGACTTAATAATGTCAAGGGCTTTTAATACTTCTGTGAGACATAACCATATACTCAGTTATTTCCTTATTTATTACAGATTAATAAAACAGCTTCAAACACAAATCCCCATAATTGCTCAACATATTTGTGTTTATTTCCTCCAGAAGTCAGACGCAAAGCTTCAACATCTCATCAATATTTAGTACATGGAAGACTGTAGTTTCTATATTTCAGTTCCAGAATAAGTCACTAATTTAAAACAAAGCGCTGACATTTATTAAAACCCTTGAACATTTGTTACAGAAACGGCTCTATGGCAGGGCGCAGTATAGCAACGAACATGAGTGTGATGGAGAACAGAGAAGGAAGTAAAAGAGAGGTAATGAACAGAGGCTCAACCCGGGAATCAGTGGCTCTACACCAGAGGGACTTAAATGAGGAGGAAACAACTGTTGTCCTTCTAGAGCATGTCCTGCCAGATGGGAACAGTCATGGACTGCAAAGGAACCGAAGCAGCAGACGCCTTGCTAACAAATTCCTCCAGCATTACAAAGGAGTCCTTGGAAGTGGAACAAATATGCAAACACACATATGAGACGATCCTGATGATTACAGACTACGACAGTGTGTCATTCCAGAGGACATACCCCAGTGTGTTTCTGCAGAAACTGGTTTGGTTAAACCAATGGTCTGCTTCTGTGAATATGATTTTGATCTCCAATTATAACAACAGTAAGTTGGTGTATTGATGATCATGAGACTACAGGAATAGGTATTTCTAATTTCTGAAGTTCTGTACTTGACATATTTGTTGTAGTATTTAACAGCATTCTTGTATAGAAACAGTCCGGACTTTTCTCAGGTTCGTTACTTGTAATTTATAAATCATACACAAAACTATGCCTGATGATTAAATCTGCACTTTTTAACATTATTTAATGTCATTTAGTCTTTGATTTGAGAAGCCTGCATAATGTGCTTATGTCATTCTCTACCTATTGATCCCTTCTGTTCCTGAAAGTTTCACTTTAATTTAAATCTACTTATATTCATTTTTGGTGAGTTTCTACAATGTCATATATGGTGAAGAGTTATATTTTCCATTGTTTGCATAACAGTTATAGGGTTTCTTCCCTTTCACTTTAAAATTGAGGAGGCTGGATTTAAGTTTTGAAATGTATATTAGTTCACATTGTCAGTAGAATTCCACAGTTAATTGTCACAACTACTTCAGTCTGGGCTTCATGGCAGCTATTTGAGAGGGAATATTCTTTCTTTGACTACAATCAGTTTGAAAATTAAGAACCGCAAAAAACAAAAATGCCAACGCTAATATGAAATTTCTTGACAAAGCATTAAATAATTGTTTCTTTCTTATTTATTTAATGATTCATTCTCATGGCAAAGCTGAGTTAGCATCAAATTGAAGACCGACTGTGAATGATGAACTGCAAAAAATGTGGAAGGAAATGTTCATAACTTGATTTGTATGGAAGAACATGGGACATAAAATAATAAAAACCCTCAGTCAGGATGGATAACCTAAGGGTTGGGGTTCAAGTCCAGGACCTGCCAAATTCAAATCTTGAGTACTAACTACTAAACTGCAACACTGGGTGTGGAATCAATGAAAACAAGAAATTACAAAAAGTAACTTCAGACTGACTTTGATGTTGTAGACTTAATGGAAATTGAATGGAAACAGTTCGTGAATGATACGTTCAAGAAGATAAATGTACAGAAGAAGTGCAAACCAATAATTTGAATGGGAAAATTAATAGGATTGGTTTGGTTCAAGTAAATCATGATCAAAGGTATGTTTTATCTTCCCCAGATCAGGAAGCAAAACATGGTAGAATGGAACTCAAAAACATTTTTGCTAGAGGAACAGTAATTACAGAGTCAGTACAATTGGTTATGGTACTGCTATTCAAAAATCTGAGGAACAATATATGGAAAATTCCTGATACCCAAAAACAGTCTGGACTGTGCCATGATTACAGAACATCGTAACTAATACAGTCTTTACTGTCACCCCTTTGTCATCATGATACAAGATGTAACAATTGTGCTGTATTTGCAACATGACTGAAATATTTATATAGATGTTATTGCTGTAAATTTCATGTAAGATTCAGAATGCAGTATCTCTTTAAACATTATCATATATATGGTTTTAACCATTTAAAGTTCATTGGATTCTCTATGTGTCAGCTGCTTTAATATTTAAAACTCCCAGTGTTGCTCACAGAACGTAATTATTAGTTCTGTGTGATTCTTGCAATAATCTATGATTATTCCCCTAAATTTATGAGTTGGTCTTTATTACGGAAAGTCAGTATGTTTACTGTGATGTAGGAACTGAATTTTTAAACATTATTTGTGAGATGTTTGTGCTTCAAAGAGTTAAACGATGAAAAGATGTTATGTGCATAAGTTGTTGCAATCAGTGTAGGTGACATTTAAAATATGCAATTTTTTTAATATTTGCTGTTACTGTAATCATGTCATTTCTTTATAGTCATTAATGCAAAATATTTTATATTTTTAACCACCCTACTGGATTCTGCAAGAAAAGTGAGGATAAACCTTCTTCTTCCTCTTTCTCCTCTCCTCCTCTTTCACCCTCCATCCTTTTCCTCTTCTTATTTCCTTCTTCCCCTCCACCTCCTCCTCTCCCCTGCTTCTTCTTCATCTTCTCCTCCTCCTCTTCCCACCGCTTCTTCTTCTTCTTCTCCTCCTCCTCCTCCTTGGTATTATTAATGTCAAGTTGCTTCTGTGCTTAATTAATTAAGCACACCATGAAGATATATGGGGAAGTGGGGGCATAGTTCCACTCCTGCTGGGAATCAAACGCCAGTCATCAGGCTCATTGCCTGTTTCTGCACCGACAGAGCTAACCAATATTATTATTATTATTATTATTATTATTATTGTGTTAGGCCTTTCATTTTGAAAAGAAATAGTATATAACTAGTAGTCTGAATGAGCATTTTGAGGAATACATTGAAAATATGACTCGGAACATTTGTATTAAAATTCATCATCATATCGTTTATTTATAAGAGAGTAATAATTAGAAACATTTGATATTTAATTATTAAATGCTTCAAGTGATGTAAACATGATTCATACATAATGTGTGCATTCTTTGTACTGTGTGTTTGTAAGCAGCACTGTAAGTGGAATATCTGTGTTCAAACTTAAGTAACAGTAAAATTGGTTATATATGTAAAATATTAACATGTACAATTGTAATTTTTACATTTTTTCTGTTTTTTAAGTACAACAAATTTAGTTTCACTTATATAATGTACATATCTCAAAATATAATTTTCCCTTTATGCATCATCCATATGTATATATATTTGAAACCCTGATTTTATATAAAACTGGTGTTTGTTGAGAATGGCAATGTACACATACTAAAATCCTGCTTAAGTTGTTTTACACAGTTGCCATTTCCCAGACGTAATCTGCTGAACAATACTATCCTAACATCATCCATAAATCCTGCAAAGGAAATTTTTTTATTATTGATATGTAAAATTGTGGAGGGGGTATTACAATTACAGCAAAATCCCTGCTAGTAATACAATTGATGAAGACCATAAATTGAGGAACATTACGCATAACCTACACTGCAGCTGAATGGTATGTAATACACTAACCCCCCATTTAAGATTTCTATGCAGAGCAGCAGATGGACTTTCAAACTGAAAGAAATCTTAAGTGGATGAAATTTAGCACTCGTTCCTAAAGCCTGCTTTTCATTTCAGTTCCAAGGAAAGTATTAATGTAGCAAGACAGTTCAAAAGACACGAGCAAATTGTTTCAGCCAATCTAAAGAGAACAGAAGAACTCTCTAAATGAGATCACTTTGATGGTTCTGAACCCTCCTGAAAACAATGAGATGGCACCATACTTCAGAATTCTACATTTCAAGCCCATATAGACAGTACTGAATAATCGCACATTATGGAAGGGATGTGTTCCTGAAAATAAATTTGGGAAATTCTGCAATGCAAACCAGGTCTTTCCATTGATTCACATATTATAAATGTTGCAACTGGGCCTACCGATCATGCTAGATCTAGTTGTTGAACACTGGGGCTCCTCAAGGTCATTTAATGGGCAACGACTGTGTTCACCTAGTTTTAGAAATTCAATAAATGGCATTTATTAAACTCCAGTGAGCTCTGATTTATTTATAGTTAAAACTGTCATCACCAATGGATTGACCCTGTGGGAAGATCAAATCTTTAAGTTTGAAAGTTCTCTGCAGGAATTTGAAAAATAAATTTAGATGGTATACAAAGGAAAATATAGTTCAGGCCTTTAGTGATTGCCTGCCAACTGGCAGTGCTGCTTGAATCAAAAAGGAAGCTCAAAAAGTTTGTTTACTCCAAATAAGGATACCCTGATGCAATAGCTTGGGGGCAGAAACTCTGGACTTCTTTTGGTTGTTAGCCTGTTACTCCCCTGCCCTCACAACACACACAAAACATTGGTTTATAGTTTGTGTACATCCTCTTGTGTCAAAATGTACACATTTAAGAAAATTATCTTCACTTTTTGCACCCGTGGTAGTCAATTTCATAAGGTGAGCAGTTCCAGTGTGTTCCTATGTAAATCTATGCAGCACATTTTTAATAAATACACATTATTCACCCATCAGATGTAATAGTGGCTAACTTTCTGTGTTCTTTAGGTATATTACTTGCTCCAGAATTTTAACGAGTTCTTGAAACAAAATTCCAATATTGGTAAATCAACATCATCTCAAAGTCGTGATATCTTCTACAAGCTATAATTTTTTAATATGAACTCTATTATTTGTCAAGAGTTGAAACTGGTATGAGGTAAATACTTATTGTTCACAAACAAACACATCTGAATGTAAAAAGAAATTCTTAGGTGATGCCTAAAAGTCAGAATACTGGAATCAAGGATGTGTTGCAGAGGCACCCATCGCTAGGTAACATCAAGCAATAAACCCGACATCCATGTGTGTGCATTACAGTTGAGGAACTGCTGGGGGGCGGCGTTTTCTCATCAGTCCACAACAAAGTGACACATAGAGAGCGTGCAAGCTGACAATGAAGTCCCATCCTGTGTGGAGACAGAGTTGAATACCTCCATCATAGCCATGCGAGTGGTAGGAGGCGACAAAAAGGGAACCCAGTGCCTGGGGGTATAAATATGGGGACCTAGCCCTCCAGGTTGGGGGAGTCTTGAATCTGAGACAGTATAATATATTCATGAGTCCTGTGGGACTCTAACCTGAGAATGACTGCACTGGTGAGGACCAGCAGCAAACAACAGACCCCGTCCCCTCGTCAGAGAGGGAGTTACATAAGGACTATAACTGCAAGTGTTCAGTTGAAAAATAAAATTACTTTGTCATGAGCCTCGAGGGGATTGTAACTAAGACGAACTGACTGGTGGTAAACTGCTACCTGTAAAGTAACTCTCACTGACTGTTAGAGAAGTCCTCATTACTGGAGCTTATAGCCTAGCAAATTGTCCATGAGAGCAAAGAAAATGACATTGGACTGCATTAGGGAGTTCCTGTTATAGAACCTTAAAAGAGTGATATAGCAGATTATGACTGATAGAAAATACTTTTAACTGTGTAATTATCTATAAAGAAGATAATTCAGTGTCAACTAACTCCAGCTATTAGTCTGAATCCCATAATGTATTCACTATCATGAGACAGTAGGATCATGAAACATTAATTTACTATTTTATTAGGACAGAACTAATATCATTCTAAAGTTATTTCAATCAGTAATTATATCCACATAAATGAATTAGAAGTAATAGGTCAGAATACAGATCTGAGATTTTTTATTTTAAAATATGAAAAACACCATTTGATATTTTGATGAGAGTGTCTTTATGTAGTGTCTGTATGTACTGATAATGACCAATCACATTTTAATAGTAGTTTCTGCATGTCCTTCTGAAGATGGTCGCTCCAACCAAAACATGTCAAGGATGAAAGATTAAAAATATAGAGAAAACATTTACAAATCACAGTGGATGGCATGAATAACCTTTTACACTATTGCTGGTCTGATGGACCAGGATGAACCAAGTCGAAAGCTACCATCAACTTTACAGAGGGACGATTAACTGATATAAGAATATAATTAATGCTTGTCATGCAGCAATAACATGCAATCATGGGGTCAAAAGTACACTGAAATGTAGTCGTATCCTTTCATTTTACATCCATGATGCATGACATATATTATCAGTCTGTCTCCATGGATCAGGTACAGCCAGAATAGCTCAGTCAGTATGGCAATAGGCTGAATGGCTGAAATTTGATTCCCAGAAGTGGTCTCTTCTTTACAACTTCCAGACCATCTCTGGGGCCCACCCAGCCTCCGATCTAATGCATACCAGGGACTATTTCCCCAGACGTAAATTTGGCTGGTCATGAAGCTAACCGCTCACTTCCACCTAGCATCAAGCTCAAGGATGGTAGAGCTACACCTCCTCTCCCCATACGTCCCCAAGGAGTAGTGCATAATTAATTATGCGCATGGACAACATTACCTTTTTGCTTTCTCCATGGATCAGAGTTTTTCAGGAAAACTCACTCAGCCAGTCAATAAATAGGTATACCATGTTCACAAGAGGTCACTGGTGTAAGATATCCCACTGAACCACATTAATCTAAATCACACCCTTCGACTCTCTTTACGGCTCATTTTATTATCAATCATCATTATCATCATCAGCAGCATCACCATCCTCTCATCTGTATCTATGTCTCCTAAGTGCACTCTTTCCCTCGGGGTTCCTTAATTACAATTTTGCACGTATTTTTCATAGGTCCCCATGTATTGTAGTATTAATTTGTAATCTTGCCCTTGTCAATCAAGCGAATATCCTTACAGACTGTTGTCTATTTAATATCAGTAACAGAATAAATTAAATGAAGAGAGAAATTTTATCACTCCAACAGCAGTAGTAATCCCTATTGCGCCCGGCTGCGAAACATGAAAATTGGCTATCCTGTGTGAAAGCAACATGGCTCTCGTTTGGAAGTGCTGGTATAGTTTTACGAAGAAATATTACTTTCATAATTCGAGTTTTCTGTAACATGAGTATTACATGGATTAAAATATACGCAAATGGAACGTGTTTTATTTTTACTTTTTGTATTTTAGTTTGAGTAGTCCTATTATGATACACTATTTATTGGCTGTCTGATAAAGGAATTAAGGTTAACATGAACGTATTTCAAAGTTGCAATGACACAAGCGATGCCATTGAATTATTTCCACCTCAGTCTTTGTATTTGAAGGCAATCGCACGGCTGAACATTTCTGTTCAACTTCCACAAATGAAGCTTCCGGGGAAAACAATTTCAAATTGGGAAGTGATGGAAAAGCTCAAAAGTATGACAAGACCAGAAGAGTTCATAGCATTGAAAGTTTCCAAAAGTACTTTAGAATTCATCAGATTTGAAGCAGAAATTGACAACAAATCAAAACTCACCAGCGTCATAGCTCGCCTAGATACACGAACAATAAAACTGTCAGGTTTCTCAGAACCATTGAAAATACGTGCAGCTGAAGCAAAGATACCTTTCCCCACAAGGCACACGTGGGATTCATATTTTCGTGATGCCAGAAACATGAACGAAATGAAACCAGGAGAAAGGCCAGATACAATACATATATCCAATTTGCCCTGTAAATGGTTTGCTACTAAGCAAGATAAAAATAAAGGTAATGACGTACCGAGTGAATATCTTTTTAGAAAAGTGTTTGAAGTATTTGGAGAAGTTAGATGTGTGGATATTCCAATAGCAGACCCATATCGAAACAGAATGAAATCTCACATATCTGGGATGAAAACATTTTCCTTTGGACAAGATCTTGCTTTTGAAGGTTATGTTCAGTTTAAAGAATACATATGCTTTGTAAAAGCAATGGATGCACTTCGTGGAATGAAGTTGTTGCATAAAGAAGGTGACAAGGCATATACTGCAAATATTAAGGTAATCGTATTTATTAATCATCTTTTCTTACATGTGAATAGTTTTAAATCATATTGTGCTTGAGGTGGAAGTAAAATTATCTTTATTTTTAAAGGTTGATTTTGATAAGACAAAACATTTGAGTGATCCTGCTATTCGACGACGTAGAGCTGAAAGAGAGAAGTTAGTGGCCCAAGAAAGGGAAAAGGAGGAAAGAGAAAGGAAAGAGCAGGAGCTTCAGGAACAGAAGAAGGAAGAGGAGAGGTAAGTTGATAATTTTGACTTGTTTTACATTTGTTGTTAGTGTTCAACTTTTAAAATACATGTGGGTTGCGATCCATTGCCAGAAGACCAGTGGACACATAATCATAGTGCATGTGTAATGGTGAACTGGAAAGTGTGTAAATCATTGATAGTGATGTATTGATTGTAATTAAGGGAGAGATTGTGACCAAAGTGCCAATAAATCTAGCCATCCAATCTAAAACCTGTTATATTTGTCACACGTACCCCCGTACACGTGATGGTAGAAGGGTCTCAGTCCCCAGGGTTGCAGTGGCCAGACATGCTACCCACTTCCATCTATTGTTGAGTTTAAGAGTGGGTGTAGCTTTATCCCCACTGTCCAATATCTGTTCATAGCATTTATGCTTTCACATATAAGACTACAATTTTTTCTAACCCATATTACATCGCTAAAGAAATAATGAAATTTGGATGTAGTGGCTTTGGAATCACTCTGTACTGGCAATGTATCAGCATCCATATAGCATTCTGGTTTAACATCCTCTTTAAAAACACATAATATTTTCTTCCTTCAGTTCCCAAATCTTGCAGATTATTACTAAAGACTATGTTAACACCAAAAGTAAGTGCATTTCTTGCTAAGCGAGGCATATACATCTGCACAACATTTTTATGCAAGATGACAGATACTTCAAAGAGTCTTCAACTTTAGCCTCGATTAAGGATGATTCATTCAGTATTCAAGAGACTGAAAATGTTGTAACTGAATTTGTAAGACTGGTGAGATAACGTGTTGTATATTGTACACTACTTTAATGTGAGATACTTTTAGTTAAAAGGCCATTAGATGCTTACTGGATACATTAGTGAAGCTCAGAATTTGTATGAAGTGCACCTGATTGTCTATTGTCTATTGAGGTGTCTACTGCATTTTCCAACGCTCGTGGATAAAAATAAATAAAAATTTTGTTTCATGTTAAGTCATATTCTAAGCCAACATTGAAGTTGAAAAACATAAACATTCATAAATGCTTTTTTTTTAAGATTGTTCTGCAACCATTATAATATTTCATTCCTTTTCAGGCTGAAAAAGTTGGAAGAAAAACGCCAAAGAGCACAAAGACAAAAGCAAAGAGAAGAGAAACGTAAACACAGGCAACTGATGAAGTTAAAGGAAAAAGAAACACAGGAAATGAATATGAAAATCGCAGTTGAGGAAAGAAAACTCCTTATAGCACAAAGAAAATTGGAAAGCATTCGGCTTCTTGATGAACTTTTTGAAAGAGTAAAGGTTTGTTGATTGTCAAAATTTTATATTCATGTGAATTCTTGCACTTCTTTGCTCTTTGGTTAATTTTATATAGTCAATATAAGGTTATTAGACCTGAGCAGGTTTGCTCAATTACTCAAGTCTCATCCAAAGTGTGAGTTATCGTGATTTAGGTTTTCATGGTTTTCCTCTGCCATTTCTCATCAAAGACAACTGATTACCTCTAATGCTGTTTATTGTGAGAATCATACAGAACTTATATACAGTATGTTTTATGGGTAAAATGCAAAGTTTTTGGATTTTCAAGGTAGGTGGTGCTATTAGTTACCACTCTGCATTCAGGGGTTAATGCTATAGCTTCACATATGATAGAGGCAGGCCTATTATTGGTCAGACTGTGGAGAACAGCAAAGAAAGAACTTCAGTGTGTAATCTGATCTCATTACTTAATATGAATGTACCTTATATTTCAAAAGAGCATACATTTTGTTAATCCCTAACTGAAACTACATATGTAGTATATATATATTGATTGATTGATTGATTTATTTCGTCACTGTAGATCATTGTACATGATATAGGACAAGTTTATATCTTTCAGTTTGAGATATGTAATATGTATGTGCCTCTTGAAAAATTTTGTAACAAGCTAATTTTTTACGGTGAGGATGAGAATGGTAAGGCATGTAACATGAATGGAGGAGAGGAGAAATGCATATAAGATGTTGGTGAGAAACTGGGAAGACCAAGACATAGGTGGGTGGACAATATTAAAATGGATCTTAGAGAGAAAGAGAGAGGATGGGGCAGTATGGGTTGGATTGATCTGGCTCAGGATAGGGACCAGTGGAGGGCTCTTGTGAACACAGTAATGAATCTTCGGGTTCCATAAAATACTGGGAAGTTCTTGAGTAGCTGCAGAATTGGCACCATGAGTGATATGTAACACCAACAGAGTTTGCTGGTTCATACAGAATTTTGAGAATCAGTATAAATTAATGAAATAAATTTAGAGGAACTATTTAATCATGGAAATGTGTGTGAAAGCTCTGACTGTAAAGTAGAACATAGTTTGTTCTGTATCTGTGCTATCCTCATACTCTTAATGAGAAGAACCTTGCTTTTGGCCAAATTGTCAAAATTTATATCACAGGCATAGGGCACTGACCTCTTCCTAACGTTTTTTTCTTTATCTAAATAATATTTACTTTGCATTTTTTTTTGCGATTTCAGTATTAAGTAGAAAAACTTGAGTCTCCAGATATGTGTAGCCATTATATTGCATGCTATTTGCCTCTTGATTACAGGTTAATAAACAAAAAGAAATGGTTAAGAAAAAGGGAGAGACATTTGGAAGGAAATCAGTTAAAGACAAACAGAAGAAAGGAGTGAAGCTGAAGAAAAAAAAGGTAAATATGTTGCTGCATTTTTATTGTATGTATATTCAAGTTGTTTGATAGATTTTATTTACTACTTCCTTGGCCACTACATAGAATTTCACACAGCTCCCCAAATAAGTAATGTCTCTAATTTCAAATAGTTCCTCGAGGATCTTGGGTGAGCAAGTTGGCTAACCACTAAGCACCTTGCTTGCTTGCTTGATGCTTCCATGCATGTTTTGCTATTCAGCTCTGAAGGTGGAGGCAATAGATTTCTCTGAAACATAGCCAAACTTCTAACAGGCTATACAGTAGAACATTCCAGAAGGTAGCGCTCTTTCTAGTCATTGCTGTCAGAACCCTAAACCAGTTGTTTGATTATAATTAAGTTTGTTGTGGTTTTATGGTGTATATTCTAACTTCCAGGAAAAAGAGAAAAGTAAGAAAGATAAATTGCAGGACAGGGAGCGAGAACTGCGTACAAAGTTAGTGAGGAAGTACAAGAGTGCACAGGAGCAACAGTTAGAGGAGCAGAGGGAGAAATTGCTTCAGACTATTGAGGGTAAGAACAAGTTGCGTAGTGTATTGGCATCAACCAGCAAGAAGCCAGACCAGTCGTCAGAATCTAGCACTGCCTCCAGTGCTGAAGAGAAGGATAAGTCTTCCAGTTCAGATAGCTCTGAGCTGATGTCAGCCAAAGAACGGAGAGAAACCAGCTGGAAGGGTGAGTCTCGTACATCTGGAATTTAGCTTTTGTTTTATAAAGAATGTCTTTCTTTTAAAGAAACATAGGGACTTAATATTAATGGGTGATCTACAAAATTTCATGACTGTCACATTTTCAACCATAGAAGTGTGAGTAGAAACAAAACCCAGTGCCTAAACTTTAAAGGTTTTTATTTATTTATTTTTTTATTTCTAAAAATGAAACTAGAAGCCTAACCCTGTGGACTTGTGGTCAGAGCCAAATTGTAAGGTTAGGCTTTGGCTCTTGTTTTTACAAATGAACTTCTAAGGTGGCAGTGTTAATGTGGCAGACAACATGGAGGTGAATTTTGCAGTCACTTGCTAATACGTAAGTACTGAAATATATTTCATGAAACCTATATTTATTGAGCTGTAGTACTGAGGATATATGAATTCGTTGCCACTTCTTGCATCTTTGTTTCTGTGATTGGGAACATTTGCTCAGGCTTCAACCATGAGTCTTAGATCATACAGTGACTCAGGTCAGTCACAGGTAAATTTGAATAATGAAATTATAATCTACATATAACATTTTCTCACACTATTCATAATTAATTATGAACTTATTGTAAACAGTAATTTCTGTAGACATAATTCCTAAAATTAATTATATTCTTGGATTTTTCTTGCAGAGAAACAAGATTTTGATGGAAAAAACTATCTTGTAGTATCACAGTATAAGGACAGACACTGGTACCAGAATAAACATTACTGTGAAGATTCACAGAGGTACATATATCCATATGATGACAGAGGGGGTCCTCCTGCATGTCAAGATTTCTTTAAGAGCTATCAAAGGTTTCCAAATCATAATCTCAGATTTCATCATAGAGGTGGATTTTATCCTCGTAGGCGAGGTTTCTATTTTCCTCGGTGGCAGAAGTACTCTCGAGGTGGACATGGGTCATACCAAAACTTCCAGAAGCAAGGCTTTGCTTCTGATCCTTCGTGTTATTATGATAATATGACAAATGACTACTATCGATACTTTCAGAAGTTAGCCAAAGGAGATAAAGGAGAAGGATCATCAGACACACAGTCTCAGGATTCTCAGTCCATCAGTCATTCACATTCTTCTAAACATTCACGGTCATCTCATTCAAAAAGCAGGTCATTGTCTAGGACAAGATCACGCTCAAAGTCTGGATCCCAATCCAGATCTTCGTCTAGCACTTTGCCAAGTAAACGTTTCAGATCACAGTCAAGATCTTGGTCACAGAGAAAGTCACGATCGAGAACTCGTTCACATTCTAGGACTCATTCAAAGACTTGGACCAGGTCACCATCAAAGTCTGTGACACATTCAAAGTGGAATGATGGTGTGGAAGAGAAAAGTGCAATGGTTGAGTCAGTAACTCAGTCAAAAGACAAAAGAACACTGAGACATGCTCATAGCAAGAAGAAGCAACATAAACAAGATGATACGTGCAGTGACAGTGACAAAATTAGAATGAAACATAAAAGGTAGTAGGTACAGTTTGCAAATATAAATTAATTCTTGTATCCAAAGCCTTAATGTGCTCCAAGAATGTGGCGCCATGTGTTTATTTTCCCTCTGGTAAGTAAAGTGTGACAGTTTTATAAGAAATTTGTTAGTCCAATTTGTACGTGTATGCTGTTTATAACTAAGCATAATTGTTTTGGAAATGGAAATTTTGTTAATTTTTTTATGATCTTTTCAATGAAGTTCTGTGAGACTTTTCAGATTCCTCCATAGACATTTAAAGCACATCTTGTGTTATGTAGAAAGATACTGTACCAGGCTTCGTATATAAGAACAAGTTGATGCTTTGAAATTTAGAGACTGCACTTACTGGCATTTTGACTCCAGGTTTGAAGATGTTGCTGTTTCATATCCATGTTTTAAAGTTAAAAGACAACCCTGAATGAACTTACAGTCTAAGGGCATAGTTTGCGGCTCATTTAATTCAAAGAATGAAAATTTGATCAGAATACTTCTTCACGTAATTTGGCTGATACATTTGTATGGACATATAGCTTAGATAATTGGATTTCTCACTCCAGAAGTCTTGGTTCAGTCCCAGTTCAGTCCATCTGAGATTGTTGTGGACATAATGTCACTGGATTTGGTTTTCTTCTAAGTACTTCAGTTTTCCCCTTCAGCCAGTGCTTCATTTTGTCATCTGTTGCTTGGTGCTGGTACAGTTGACTCATTTTCAGCTTAAGCATCAAGTGACTCTGACTCATCCTGCTGCAATGATGATGATGATCATCATCATCATAATGATGAAGAAGAAAAGGGTAAATTGATAGACCAGTGGAATAAGTTGATTCCACTTACTTTGTTGTTCAGATCAAAACATACAAAGCAATGAGTATGGCGTGATGGCAGAATATCAATTTGTTGAAGACAAATGGCTGTACAAGATGCAAGGAGTCATTTGGCTTATGTTGAAATGCTGTTAGGCCTACAAACAACAGTTAAGAAAAAACAAGAAGATTCTTCAAATACCATTGTGAAAAATATATGTTGTGATTATAAGTCTATTGTGTCTTACAGGTTACTATAACAGACATTTTCTTTGCACCATTAGATCACATGTATGAATTTATCATCCCCATATTAAAGAAGAGTGCCATATTATGGCTCAGAGTATTTCAGGAAAATGATTTCTGCCTGTATTGCCCCTCTCAAGGATTTTTTGGTAGGTCAAGTCATGAATCCTGCATTTTTAAAATATTTCCAGCTGACATTAACCACATAGCAATTTCATGTCTCTTCTTATATCTAGAATAGACATACATGCATTTTGTATGCTGGGTTGAGGCACATCATCTAAATGTCAGAAATGTTGATAGAGGGAAACTTACTTGTTTTTCACCCTAAGGGAAGAACTTAAATTTAGGATATTGAGAATAGGAATCTGAGGAGAATCTTTAGATGAAGTACCAGCAGAATGTGGAAAATTGAATAATGAAGGGCTTCAGCATTTAGCAAATATTAGAGCAGTAAGATCAAGGAGAGTGAGGGGGGGGTTATAGCTGATATGAGAGAGATAACAAATGCATGGAAAATACTAGTCCTATGGTGAGGGAAGAGAGAAAGAGTTGATGGAAGGTAATCTTCAAGAAATAGTAATACTGTAATTCTCAAATAAGTATTAGGAGATAGGAGATACTGTGATAGTATTGAGACATACATGTATGCGAGAATTGAAAGGAAGTAAAAATATCCAAATGTTACAGATTTGTAAATAAAAAAATGGTCTAACAATACGTTCTCGCTCTCTGTGGAATTTGTGATGACCGCGGTGGTAGAAATTACAATATTATATTTTCTTGTCCTGCACCCTGGTGGGTTTTGATGGAACTTCCATGAGTTTAATTGTTACTGGACGTCATGTACCATCATTACAAACTATTGGTTTATTTGACGAGTTTCTTTGTTAAGGGTAGGAAGCACTGTAGCTTGTAGTTCTATAGCAGTAAATTGACTGTGTAGGACTATGTTGTCCAAATTGAAGTTATCACTGGAGGTCGATACGAAATATAAAACTATGTAGAATGTGGGAAAATTAGTGATCAATAGTTGGTGTTCTAGTTTCTTCTCACCTGTGTCCTCTGCATTTTACAGAACACAGAAAGAATTAGTAATCCGTGGTACATAAAATTTGTGGAGGTTTATTTGTTAGCAAGTGTTATTATAAAACTGCCGCATTTGTCTTGTACATGTGTGGTGTATAAAAGTGACCATGCACATACAAATGAGCTAAGTCTGACTGAACGACCGTACAGCTAATTGACGATATTATATTCAAAATATTTAAGAATGGAAGCGACGTCGGCAACCTGCCCAGTGTGTGGTGGCTCAGAATACTACAAGGAATGTGGTTTCTATTTCTGTTCAGAATGTCAGACGCAGTCACAGGTATGAATTTGCAGCCAGTAAAATGATATAAATTTCCCAGTTTATAAATCGCATTGCAATCGTTCATTCCCACACAGACTTAAAAGGGTAAATTTTAGAGCTTCTGCACAAGAAAGGGACAAGGCAACATAACTTTGCGGACTTTTCTAAAATATTTTAGAGGAACATCATGTGCCAAAGAGTGCCCCACTTTTGAAATTCAATGGCATTTTGAAGGAGAGGAGTTTGAAGCGTGTCGGATTTTCTGTGGTCTGAAATTTAGAGTGTGATTACCACTGCATATTAACGACTAAACCAACCATCTATGTGGTATTGTAGCGCATTATAGATAGGGATGAGAATATAGTAAATGGTTTACATAAAACCTTTCTGGCAGAAGACAAAGTTTTGTGATCAAATTTTAAAATATTCATAATCTGTATTCTGTAAGTAGGATAACTTCAGAATGGAAACCCACAAGGGTCTCTATTTTTTCCACACCTGTTTTACAGGTGTGCCCATGTAATGCATGGTGTTTGTTTACTTTTACCATTGATTTACGCACATGTGGTTTTTGTGGCTTTCACAGTACAATTATTTTGTGACATTCTTTTACTGTCACTAATAAAATACTAATTTTGCCAAAAGAAAGGTGATTATTAGAAAACAGAGCTGTATAGACGTTCATCCATGATATGTATGTAATGGCTGTCTTGTAGTGCACTCAATTTCATATGTCACTTCTTACTACATGTTTTGACAACATAATGCCATCTTCAGGTTCATTATTTATGCTAAGCTATATTACATTGTTTGCCATCTTGTGTACTTTCTAAATAATTTTATGAAAGACACAAGATGACAAAGAATGTAATAGCTTAGCATAAATAACGAACCTGAAGATGGCACTATGTTGCCAAAACATGTAGTAAGAAGTGACATATGAAATTGAGTGCACTACAAGACGGCCATTACATACATATCATGGATGAAAATCAGTGCAACAGGACGCTAAAATACAACAGTATAGAAGTTCGAAGAAAGCAGTCTTCTGGGATTTGGCACCTTGTATATGTGGTGCCAAATCCCAGAAGACTGCTTTCTTCATAGTCACCGCCGTGAAAGCCTCAAATCTTACAGTATAGAAGTTCATTTGAAAAGTTGCATATGCTGCCTTATGCCATTTACTCGGCTAATGAATTTATGTTGTGAAAAAATTATAAAGTATAATCATATATCTGATGATAAATTTAGTGTATTCTGTGTTTGTATTGTGTATATCTGTTATACATGTGAAAAATGATGTATATGTTGAATTTATATATTTTCTCAAGTAAGTGCGCAATTTAAAATCCACTGTAAGACTCTGTAAGAATCGCTGGAAGTTTTTTTTTTTATATTACCTTTTCAGGAACTTCATGAACATGTTCACGAGTATAGTGCTGGAGATGCTGCAGGAACAAGACGTGTTAAGAAAAGTTCTAATAGGGAAAAAGAAAACTCTGGCAAGTATTGCTGTATGCATGACTTCTCAAAATATGTTTTTCTATATTAACCACAGTTTGATGGTAATTACAATGTTCTAATGTTGTGATTGTGTTTTGCAAGTATCAGATTTGAAATATTTACAGCATCTAAGATTCAGACATTTGTATTCTTGCATATGTCTCCGTTTTATATGGTAGGTGGGTACCAGAATTTTGGAGGATCAAACTGATAGCATCTTCAGGGTAGGAGTTCTCTTCCCTGTGATGGAGGTACTGTTTTCCTCTGCATCACTGGGGCTCACCCACTAGACTATTAGTGACGGTGCCATAACCTGGAAGATAATTTTTAAGGTTATGAATGTCTTTCATTACTGACCTTAAAACAAAGAAACAGATTTATTGTTTAAACTGTTTTGTCAAGATGTTTGTGGAAGCATCATATGTAAAGACTTGACTAATCATGACTGTAATGAAGTCATCAGAAATTGAGAATGTGATCAAAACTCTGAAATAACTGGAATATTATGACTGGCAATCCATACAACATTTGTTATCAGTCGGTATTAATATATTATTTCTCTTTTAGATGCTACAGATGAATGGACATCATGGGAATATTATAACTTTATCCTGAAAGGTTTGGTAGATGAATTGATAGGCCTAGGAGCTAAAAAGACAATTAAGGTTGTTGTCCTGCAGCTGTGGGCTACCTACCTAAAGAAACTTGACGTAGCTTTTACATCAAAGAAACACATAAGACTGCCCAAGCTGGGAATTAACTACCATCCAAGGTAATATAATTTTTTTCAATTTTCAACAGGTGAAGAAAATGTTTGTTTGAATTTCTGTTGCTTTATGTGTAAGTTCCAGTCTAGTAAACCAAAATTAATGGCTGTGGGGATTCATTGCGCTGACCACGTGACACCCTCTATCTACAAAAGTTGGCACTAACTTCGCTGACAAGCAGCGGTCACTCAGTCCACAATGTTCGCTTGCGGACCAAAGCCACGGAGTTTCTTTGTTATGTGTAAGTTAGAAAACCTTGTGGTCTTTATTATTCTTCCTAGTATCATCATCAGTGTTGCCCATTCTATCACCACCCCTTCCTAACCCCTTGGAGCCCAGTGTCAAGTGGCAAAGTGCTGCTGTACAAAACATTGAATCAGATTTATCTTCAATCTAAAATTGAATCTAATGATATGGTTAAGAATATCTTGCATAGGCAACAGCACCAATCAAATCATAGGTGCTTTTAGAAAATGTGAACAAAATGAGTATTTAAAATGAGTTGTTGAGAATTCTGACACCCCTGTAATAGATGTTTGCAAGCTTGAGAATTATGGTCTTAAACGCAGCGGGGGCACGGTAGTGTAGTTGGTTGAGGCACTATGCTACAAGCCAGAAGGTCGCTTGTTCGAGTCCCAATGAGGTGGCATTTTTCAATTAACCTAATCTTTCCAGCCACAATATGGCCCTGGGTTCAACTCAGCCTCTAACACAAATGAGTACCAGGAATCTTCCTGAGGGGTAAAGGGCGGCCAGTGCATAAGGCTGACAACTTTACCGCCATCTGTGAGCTGATTGTCTAGAAAATGTGGGAACCTCGATGTCTCACAACCCTATGGGACTCCATGGCCTGTTACAGGGATAGCTTTTTTACCAGCACTGTGCTTATAGAAGATGGCTTCAAGATATTTGTAAAGAGCCACATAAATGTGGTACATGCGATGGAGTATATAATTAACATCAGAGAAGTGACCCAGTTTACAAGAAGGTTTTCAAGAACACATTGTGTTGCACGAGTGAGGACTGCCTATAACTGTGTTATAACATCTGTATCACAGAGTGGATTGTGCATGTGAGGATTCACCACAAAGATATGCTTCAAATAACTTTCTCTCTTTATTTCCAGGGATTTCAATTTGGACTCATGATCTGAACAGATACTGCAGTTACATTGCATTATTACATCAAATTAATGCTGTTTTAAATCATTTCTTCTAGAGATGCAAAATTGGTGTATGGCTGTGATATTGAAGAGAGAAAGCGGTGTGCAAGAAAAACACGCAAGAGACGGATTTCAAATAGAGATCCGACTACTTTATCAGAAGCCTCCAGCTGCACAGACCCTCATATAGCTAAGCTTAATCTTCGAAAAACTAAAGTATGTTGTTTGTTACCGCTACTCTTTTTCATTATAATTTTATGGTTTCTTTTAGCACGTATGGAGGAGAAGAGGAAGCATATAGGATATTGGTGGGAAAGCCAGAAGGTAAGAGACCACTGGGAAGACCAAGGTGTAGGTGGGTTGATAATATTAATATGGATCTTAAGAGAGATAGGATGGTGTGGTATGGACTGGATTGATCTGACTCAGGATAGGGACCAGTGGAGGGCTCTTATGAACACAGTAATTAACCTTTGCGTTCCGTAAAATGTTGGGAATTTCTTGAGTAGCTGTGCGACTGGCTGCAGCTCCATGAAGTTACTCTGTTAGTTAGGTTTCTTGGAAATGGGTTGTGTAATCATGCTTACTCCAGACAGTTTATTTTCAGTCTATTAGTACCATATTTTAAGATAATGTTCCAGACTGAGGAAGACACCGAGACTGGAAATGTGTGCATCAGTGGAAGACAGAAGTTTGCCAAGTGCATCTTTGCAGTTTTCCATATACAGTCAGTCTTGACATCCACTTGTAACAGTGCAGAGTCAAGAAGTTCAATTTTTCTTGTAATTCAATACATATTTACCATATCAGTATATTCAGGTAAAAGATATAGATCCTAATTTGATTTTGTCTCTGTGTCATCTACTGATAATTTTTATGAGAAGGCATTTTTTTAAAAGGGGTAAAAATATGTGTAAAATGATTTATATAGGGCCACTATGACGTAAGTTCATGTGACAAAATTTAGTAGTTATCAGCGGTTATCTCCCAATGAGGTGGATTTTTTCAGTTGACCTAATCCTTCCAGTCGCACTGTGGCCCTGGGGTCGACTAAGCTTCTAACAGAAATGAATACCAGGAATATTCTTGGTGGTAAAGGGTGGCCAGCACGTAAGGCTGACAACCTTATCGCCATCTATGAGGTGATTGTCTAGAAAATGTGAGAGCCTGAACATTTCACAACCCTGTGGGCCTCCACGGCCTGTTACAGGGATATCTTTGCTTTTTTTATTATTATTATTATTATTATTATTATTTAACCAGTTACCTCCTTTCAGAATCTCCACTTTATTTACATTGTCGTAATCACCAGTCCCAGATTTAATTGAGTTCTGGTGACTAGTTTTGGAGATGAAACTTACTGACAGACTGACATGCCTTCATTTTATTGAGTTTGTGACAAAAGTACTTAGGAATAACTTAATCAAGAAGTGTGGTTTTCAGCAGTAACTGAACTGGTTGTCTCCTTTATCAAAGTGAGACACATTGCACTAGTGAAGATGTTACATAAGAAATGAATGTTGTTTTTTTAAGATAAGCCTTTTCTTTGTGAGTGACAAATATATATATATATATATTATTTTCATAATGCACAGAAAGCACTTTTTGAAGAGGACTATGGAAAACATGCCGAATCATCAGGTGATGCCATGAGTGAGTTTGATGAAAGCATGAGGAGCCTTGATACTTCGTCTAGAGGACAGTTGACATCTGATAATGGGTCGGTCCCCAGATTTCCAAGGTACAGGCAAATATAACTCCTAACATACAAATTTTCATGCATAAGAGCAGAGAAACTTTGTTTGAGTAGATTATATTATTCACATTTCGGGACCCTGTTCCGTATTCCGTATTGAGGGGGTGGGTTTCCCCATGCACTTAGACCGGTTAGTGGTCCATTGTGCGTCCCCCTTTAATTTCTACTGTCTCCATACCCTACCGGTATTGGTGCTTACTATCAGCCCCTTTCTGCCAGCGAGGTTCCAACCTTCTACTGGCAGTGGTATCTAATAGTTAGTCCCTTTCTGTCAGAGAGGTCCCCCCTCCTCTGGCAGTGGTACCTAATACTTCCCCCATCTACCGGAGGCATTGGAAACTACTTTGGGCGGGAAACTTTTTGGCCAAATTTAGCTCAAAGGTCTCCTAAAGACATGAGGTTCTTTTACGTGCCGTAAATCTACGACACGGGAGCCACGGCTTAAAGTCCCTCCTGGAGGACTTGTTCCCTGAATTTTTCCGCCCTTAAAAATTCCAAGACCTCCGCCGGGTTTTTGAACCTGCGTACTACGAGTCATGAAGTGGGAACGTTACCTCTAGACTACGGAGGCCGCTTCAGGACCCAGTTACTTTCTTTTTAGTTTTTACCATAGTGAACCATTGATACACTTGGAAGACATCAGATATGAATGCTCACAAAAACTTCATGCCCGATTGGTTGTTTTGAGATGCTGATATCACTTTCAGCAGTACCAATAACATGCTAAAATTGAGATCTGTGGTACAGGTTCTTTTATAAGGAATGAGCTTTTTCAAGCTAATCAGCATTTTTATGGAAATGGTGCTGGAAAGTCCATAATCACAAAATCCCATCCATTACGACCTGTTGTGAGCGAGTTAAATCCAGATGACATCATCACACACTGCTTTCTTTTTAGATTCCTTCTAATTATCCTTCCATCTACACCTGATACCCTATAATAAATATTTAAATTTGGAATTTGATTATCATCTACCTTAATATTTGATTAATTAAGCTTTGAACCTTGAAGATCTGCGCATTCTTAACCTCGGCACTAATTGGGGAGAAGTTCTCAGTTTAAGCTCTGGGGAAATAGCCCCATTATACGTATGACAGGAAAATGGATGGGTACCGAGCTGGTCTGTACAGTTTAGTGCATAATTTATGCATGTATAAATTCCATCTATATCCAATTTGTTAGATCCCTTGAAAGATTTCTCTGTACGAAATTTCATATTCCTAGCTATAGTAGTTCATTAATCATTGTCGTTAGATCCATATTTAAATACACTTATTACAGGGTTCCCTAAGTCCCGATGAGGTCTTTGGATTTTTTCAGTTGACCTAATCCTTCCAGCCGCACTAGGCCCTGGGGTTTACTCAGCCTCTAACAGAAATGAGTACCAGGAATTAAATAATTTTCCTGGGGAGTAAAGCACGGTCGGCGCGTAAGGCTGACAACCATATCGCCATCTTTGAGCCAATTGTCAAGATAATGTGAGACCCTTAACGTCTCACAACCCTATGGACCTTCACTGCCTGTTACAGGGATAGCTTTACTTGTTTTTACTTTTTACTTTTACAGGGTTCCCATATTATTGCTTTACATTTTTAAAAAACTCAGTTTAAACATATTGCACATTCTTGCTTGCAGCTGATTGACTTTGATTACTTTCTTCAAAATTGAATAAATTTTTGTACACCATTTCTGGTTGCTGAATACCAAACAACAATGAAATCCATGACAAGTAAAGCTGATTTTGAGAAAACTTTGGGCCCCTAGTACACATTCCACCCATGCAGTTTTATTTAGGGATATGGTCACCATAAATTACTGAAATTATTGGAGTCTTTTTTTTTTTTTTTTCAAGGGGNGGGGGGGGGGGCAGTAATCATCATTTTGTATTGTGTGTCGTGTATGGAGAGCCCTGAATTTTGGAACTGGAATGTTCAGTGGGCACCGATTTAGGATGGATAAACTCTTTCAATGTCCAATCTAAGTAAAATCTGTCCCACAGTTGAGGCACTACAAGGCACACCGCTGTATATGCAGATATACAAGCAGGCAGACAGCAAACCAGAAACATCTTTCTCATAAGGAAGGGGGCCTAAAGATATGACAGATTTTTATGACCCTGCACTGAGTGGCACTTCAGAAGTTTGCTACCATATTCATATTCCTATTAATGACAGGAAATCATGAAATATGAGACTGGAGGGACATCTGGTTGCATGGGGTTCTTGCTAGTTTTATAAAAACTTGACAATTTTTTAAAGAATTAGATAGTTAACATGTTTGAACTCATAGATATATGGGTATTTTTCCTTGTAAAGTAATAAAAATAAGCAAAAAAAGTCTAAATGTGTAGAAACAGTGTTGGAATATATACTGTATTATTAATTAATTTTCACAGGCTTTCATTTTCGTGTGCAGCACGTAAGCTACGTTCCCAGATGTACAAAAAAAATGGTTCTGCTCGAAGCAATAAGAGCATAAGTAGCTGTAAAATTCTGAAGTCAACCAATCCAAATATCCTGTCACGTATAAAATTATTGGCCATTGTGTATATAGCGCTGCGTATCTTGCAGGAAGATATACAGCTGAGTGATATATTGAGGTAAGGTGGGATATTGACATGACTAGAACTTAAAGGTGAAAATAATAGTGGGTACAGTTTGCATTACAAAAAGCTCTTAATATCTGATGAGTTCCTGTCTTTTGGGATATAACATCACATAGTCCACTGAAAGCTAACGAGTATTTCAGAGGAATATGTCACCTCCATCTTCAGGGTTGAACACTAAGCCAAGCAAGAAACCCACAAACCATGGCTTGACGTTCACCATACTACACGACGTATCCCAGATGATATAACCCTTCGTAGCCTGCACATTTGGAACCTCAAATCCTACATTTTTCATGTCAGTTTGCATGTATTATGAGTAAATAAAGTTTCTATATGCTGTTTTGTACTGGAGTATGTGATCTTTGACCAATTTTCTTTTTCTTTTTGGTACTTAGTGAATAATAGCGGATATTCCATGACATCCTTTTTTTATTAGTTCCCATTTTACAGGTTTCAGTAAGCATAACAATTCTGAAAATTTTTAAAGTGTGTTATGATCTCTACAAGTGAAGTTTGATATTCCTTATGGTGGCATTATTTCTCTTCTCTTTGAATATCAACTTCAGTTTTGATAGGGACTAAATTCTGGGAGTTTGGTAAGGGACAAATGTCACTTGGTTAAGTTTTGATTTGTACTGTCATACCAAAATATTTTAACTGTGCCACAGTTTCAAAGGATCTGTTAACTGTCTTTATGTCATGATTTTGCCCTGCATTCTGGTGACAAGACAGCAATATATTGTTTTCTCTGGGTTTACTTCTAGACCAACCTCCTTACTAGCATCAATTAAAGTTTCTGAGTGTTCTGTTACCTCAGTAGATTTATGTCATCAGCATAGACCAGCAACTGATGTGTCAGTCCCACATGGTTTTCCTGGACCTTCCTAATGGCATATTCTAAAGCAGAGTTGAAAAGCAACATCAATAAGCATATTCTTGATTTAGACCATTTTGGATAGGAATATTATGGCTGCGCCATAGCTGAAGTGGTTAGTCACTGGCTTTCCACCGCAGCCGCCCAGGTTGAATCCTTGGTCTGGTCAAGTGGGATTTGTGGTGGACAAAGTGGCGCTGGGGTAGGTTTTCTCCGAGTACTTCGGTTTCCACTTCCAATGTTCATTTCACCAATTGCTCCACAATCACCCTCACCTATCATCTGGGGCTGGTACAATAGGCCAGAAGTGGCCGCAGTATAAGGGACTTAGTCCCACCCCACTAGCAATAAAAAAATAGTAGGAAAATTATCAGATGACATACTATACAGACATATTTTTTTGTGGTTTTCCTCAACATTTCCAGGTGAATGCCAGGATAGTACCTGTAATTATGCTAGAAATGTTTCCTTTGGCGTTCTTTACATTTCATTGTTTATTTGCTATCCTAGCAGTTGATGCTATATAGTCTGAGATACTGATATTAAAGAAAACAAATACATAAATCCAACAATCCCCAAGTCAAATCCACACGGTTTTACCCATGCATGGCAAAGCTTTGGATACTCTTTAGAATTGTGCGGAACAGTAAATGGAGCTGACACTGACTTTGCTACTTGCATGGGTAAACAGCTACTCTTTGTGTTTGTTTGATGTTTCTGTTATATTCTGTCATGAAACAGCAATGCTTTGAAACTTCACCATATGTAATTGAATGTAATGTATTTAGCTACCAGAGCCTAGAGACTACTTATTTTTCACATTTTGCTTTAATCTGAATAAATAGTCACATAATTTTGATTTGTTAAGAATTTCTCAGACTTCTCCATTGGTTATATTGCCTGTTCCTTTGTCATCGCCACACTTGGACATGTATTAGCTGATTAATTTATTCCTTGAACAGAAAATTTATGAAAGCACAGTTTCACATAACCAAAATGACAGCCATCTTAAAGTCTACAAAGTTAGAGAACATGCATATGTGCATATTGTTCATCCAGTTTTCATTTATACATGTAAATGTACTCATAAAAAACTATTTAATGTCCACATGTATATTTGACAGGTGGGTGGAAGAAGGTGAGCTGTCATTCTATGAAATAACACATTTCTTCCCAGATGATGTGAGACTCAGAGGTCATGATCTTATAACATTTGGTCTATCTACCAAAAGACCTTCTTATTCTGGTCTAAGCAGCACAGCAAAAGAATTGGCTTTCTACTTGCATGTCACTCATGTGCCAGTACCTGATTTGTTATCTCTAGCAAAGAGATATATTGAGGAATTACAGCTACCAGGTTCGTGTTTCATGTTGTTAGATGCTCCATGTTTAGTTGTGTGTTGGAAGTACTTAAATGTATGTGATTTTCTTTGTTATTGGTACATGTAATCTAGGGTAACCATATCTTAAAAGTAATATGAGTATACTTGAGTCTGCCCGCCTCTGTGGTCTAGTCATCAGAGTTCCTGGCTACAGATTCAGAGGTCCAAGTTCGATTCCCGGCCCTACCAGATTTTCTGAGAAGTAGTGGTTCTGGAATGGGGTCCACTCAGCCTTGTGAGGATAAATGAGGAGCTATTTCAAGGAAATAGCAGCTCCGGTCTAGAAAACCGAGATTAACAACCGTGGGGATTCATTGCACTGACCACACGACACCATCCCGCTAAAGTTGGCACAAACTTTGACAACAAGCGGCGGTCACTCGATCGGTGTAGTTCACTTGTGGACTAAAATCATGGAGTTTTTTTTTTTGTTGTTGTTGACTTAAGTCTGGGATTTATTGCAGGAAAGGTTAATAATGTAGTTGATTATCTTCACAGCAGTGTATTAGTATCTACAGCAAACTAACATCAAGAACATGTGTTCTTGAAATCGAAATACGCATTTCACACTTTGCTGTCATTTGTAACACAAATATATAAACTGATGAAACGATTAATGCAGTCAGTAACTTTACTCCATTAGTAAGGTATGTGGGTGCATATCACTATAACTACATACTCTTTCATACAGCTCGTGAATGTACATTTATGAGTATGTTGTATTGAGCCAACCTTGAACTTTCCAGCATTTTATGGAACCCAAAGGTTCATTACCATGTTCACAAGATCCCTCCAGCGGTCTGTATCCTGAGCCAGATCAATCCAATCCATACCATCCCATCCTGTCTCTCTGAGATACATTTTAATATTGTCCACCCACCTACGCCGTGGTCTTCCCAGTGGTCTCCTTCCTTCTATTTTCCCAGGCTTTCCCACCAATATCTTATATGCATTTCTCCTCTCCCCCATTCATGCTACATGCCCTGCCCACCTCATCATCCTTTACTTGATAATTCTAATTGTATTTGGAGAAGCATACGAGTTATGAAGCTCCTCATTATGTAGTTTTCTCCAACCTCCTGGCACTTCCTCTCTCATCAGTCCAAATACTCTCCTTAACACCCTGTTCCCAAACACCTTCAGTCTGTGAGGGTGTTTGAGAGTATTTGGACCAACCTTGTATGCATGTAAGTGGCCATACATGCTGGTGAAAGCATAAGTGTCACATCTGTCAGTATTGCATCCTTTCATGTTCAGTTTCTTTGTGCTGTAGTTGATGGATTTGTTTGAACTTTTGTGTAGTTGAGATTGGGAAATATGTCGAGTGCATAATGGCACTGTCACCTCCATCAATGAAACTCAAGAAGTCTCTGAAACATTTTCCTAACTACGAGGGTCGAGCAATGGCATTCATCATATTTGTCCTTAAACTTCTTCTTGGACTTGATGGAAAGACTGAACATGAGATATCTAGAGTCACCAAGAAGCTTAATGAGTAAGTTAATAGATACACAGGTATTTTTAGCAGAAGTGTCGTTCTTCTCACCCCTGTCAGTTACAAGACATCCTACAATCTGCTATTCTGTTTTATTTTCATCCATTACTCAGATGAGAGCACAAATCAACTGGAAGTCTTTGTCTGGCAAGAATGAGTATGGCTTTAGCTACATTCTCAGGGCAGAGGTGATCAGATCTATTGTGTATATAATAATTTACAGAAAATATATTGTTACCATGATATCATGGGAAGACAGAATTTACAATCTGTACACTTAACTCCTCTTCCCCTCCTTGGAATGTATTTTATCTAAAATAAAAGAATGTCATTCTTGAATACTTAAATATTATAAGGGGGAAACCCTGTAATTGCTCCATTTTGTCTTAATATAAGACAGTACATAAATGTGTGACAGTTACATGGGTAAATATGGTGAATTGTAGGTTTTTGTTTTCGTGAAAAATGAAATAATTTTACATTCACAGGTTGTGTGAAGGATCTGCAGGAGCAACAGCAAGACTGTTTGTATGGGAGGAATGGGTGCAGTACATAGAGTATCGAAAGTCAGTTTTTGGACAATTTCACTTTCCTACTCAGGCGTCGCATTACCAAGAGGCATTCAACAATCCTAACGGTTTTGTGAAGTTTTGGAAAAGAATGAAGTCAAAGGATACCAAGAGACACAATAGGTTACTCTTCTCGAAAGTGTCCAGTACGTAGACTTTTAGTTCACTTAAATGAAATTGGGAGAAGCCTCGTATATGCCAGGGTTAGGATTTAGGTAGGGTTGTACAGCAAATACATGCTTGCGCATGTAGCGTAATGTGTAACTGTCTAGGATACAGATCCCAGTTAACTGAATAACTAAGGATGTGATGATTTTTAATATGATTGAGTTCTTTTATTTAATTTTTTTTTAAATTGGAATGGGTCATGACTCAATTCTTGAATCATCATTGGCGCCATCAGAAGCAGAAGAAGAATTTTACTTCTGTTGCAGTCAAGAAATATTGTTTAATATTTGTAACGTGTGTTATTCTAGGCATTTGTTGTGTGAGTATGGTTGGAAGTAAAGTGTAGAATAGAATATTTAGACCTAAGAAATAGAAAGTAAGGGACTGGAGAAAGTTGCATAATGTGAAAGGTTTCATAATATTTAAGCAACTTCATGGAGCTGAGCCATTCTTGAGAAGCCGCCAAACTTCCCATCAGTTTATGGAACCCGAAGGTTCATTACAGTGGTCACAGAGGTCATCCACTGGCCCTTATTCTGAGCCAGATCGATCCAGTCCATACTACCTCATCTCATCTCTTAAGATTCATTTAATATTATCCACCCACCCATTTCCTGCTCTTTCTAGTGGTCTCTTTCCTTCTGGTTTTCCCTCCATTATCCTAGCATTCTTTGACACGCTTCTTATATTGCAGAAGAAGCTGTGTGTACAGTCCTCCTATTTTTCTGTGTAACATAGTCTTGGTAGAAGATAGAAAATCAGGCCATCTTAAGACTTCTACTTACACAGGGCAACACAAACACAGAAAAGAATGCAGACATGTATTGTTTTCCCAAGTGGATTCAAACACATGATCCCAGAGTCTGAATGCTAGGAAGCAGTATGTGCCCTAGACAACACAGTTTCTGTGGTGGGTCTATCTTTGACAGCCAGAGGCCAAACAGAATATTTTTGCATGTATCCCAAACATATTTAATAGTAGTGCTTGTGAGTACATCATATTGTGCTGCATGCCTGCAGCAAGTTATATAATATATTGTATTTCCAGAAATGAATCCTGAACTTGTGAGTGCCATGAAACATGTTTTTATGAAGTTGGTGGAAGAAGAAACAGATGACAGCACAGTGGAATTTGTTCCATCACTTACACCACAAAAAGCAAACCTGGAAGCTATTATTGCAGCTCTGCCATCAGCTTTCAAGACTTCAGCTCATATCTTGAAGCAAGATTTCACTAGTACAACACTGCAGCACTTAATAAAACCTGAACAGTAAGTGAAAAGAAATTGCAGAAGTAGTTCACATACTTCATGTAACCAGAACGGGAGCCAGGATATCTCAGTTGGTATAGTGACTAGGCTACAGGATGGACGGCTGAGTATCAGGATTAGATTCCTGTCAGGGACAAGACATTTTTCTCTTCTCCATATCATCCAGACCAACTCTGGGCTTCACCTAGCCTCCTGTACACCGGGTATTGGCAGCTGTTTCGCTGGGGCGTGAAGCAACAGGTGGCTGAAGGTGACCATTCACCTCCATCATCTTCCAAGGTCAAGAATAGTGGAACTGTACCTCCA